CACACGTGAGTGATTGTTTCAAAACGTACATCTCTTCATGTCTTTTCCGGACGTTATTTAATAAATATCCTGAAATGAGCGCTACCACTGGGAAGATGGACTCGTAGAAATGAGCACTACCACTGGGAAAATGGACTCGTAGAAATGAGCGCTACCACTGGGAAGATGGACTCGTAGAAATAGCTTCGCTGGAAAATACGGTCTATGTACATACAATCATCTGCAGTTCATCAGAAAAAGGGCCAAAGTGCTTCCTGTACAGGATGCTGGTGATATATTATGTAATATTCTCATTTGCATACCAGGAAAGATAATGATATCTTGGTCCTTGTTTTTTACATAGACTTGACAAGATTTTACTAAATTATCATTTTATTTTTATTTTGTGTACTATCTAATTTTTAGGTACAAGGTGGGATATAAACTAACTTTAGCTATAATTTACTAGCTACTAAATTACTAATTAATTAAAAATTCATAAACTAGGAACTAAGGCAATTTTAAGTTTGAGTATATTTTGCATGGATTTATCGAATATATAATATACGTCAGCTAAACCTCCATATACTCTAACTATACACGGTTTATTCACGAGGGTATAATCCGGTTCCTTACGGGTCATCATCGTCTTTGATAAAGCACTTCCTGCTAGAGAAGGCAAAAAAGGGGAAAAAACTGAAAGATTCAGTACCATCTCAGGACTTTTAATCGCCGAGAAACTTGGAGTGACATGTGAGAGAAGCAAAAACAAAAAAAGGTACTCGAAAACGCAAGCCATTTGTCTCCGGACGTTGACAGTCGCGTCAAGCACTTGTTTATTTTGTTTTAAGTAGTGTCTTTCCCTTCAGTCTGGTAACTGGAAGCCAGAGTGAAGACAAGTGTGGGTAACGGAAAGATACTAAGACCGGAGCATTAACAAACGTTTCCTTAATAAATTCTTGATAGGTAAAAATGTTTGTCAGAAAAGAGGACAAGTGTTTTCTGACGCGGGTCTTTTGGTCATCTGGCGGGGGACTTCCACTGGCTTATCGGTCCACCTCTTTATAAATCGTGGTTATGATTATAACCATTTGTGCTGCTTCACTACTGTTTACAAATCTATCCGTTACTAGAGTTAAGTTATAGATTTTTTTTGTGGACAAGAAGCTTTGAATGAATATTATTGCTTCTAAATATAGGTTACAATTTAGTTTAAATTAAATCTCTATAGTTTTAGCTTATGTATATAATGGCGTTGATGCCCCTAATTAATAAAGAAAAATATACAAGATCCCACATCAACTCCTCAAACAAATGTAAACGAAGAACAGACTCGGGGCGGAAATTCAAACGAAGAGTTTAGAGTTTACGTCTGTACTTTGTCAAGATATTTTCGTACCTTCCATGTAGTGTTGAATACAAACGACACGTCTCTCCTTCGCCTGTGTTTACATCATGGTAAATCCTCCAAAGGAGGTGCCAAACATTTGGAGATGCTCTCCGATTCACTGGATGAAGTCTGATTACATCCCATTACGGGAGTACACTTCGCTTTAAATATTAAAATATTAATTAACCTAGCTTGTCAGGAGAATAAGTTTTTCGAAACTCCAGCAGTCTGATCATGATCACAAATGTATTAAAATTGTGATATAATTCGAGTAACACTGCCGGTGCCAGTGAGAGACGCAGCAGGTGCAAATGATAGACACAGCTGGTACAAGTGGGAGACAGAGCAGGTGCAAATGATTAGACACAGCTGGTGCAAGTGGGTGACGCAGCTTGAACAGGTGGTACATAACTGTCGGAATGTGATACAATCTATCACCCTTTGCATTTCAAATTTGTCAATTACACCCTATTCAATACAGCTTTAGTCCTCTTCTTTTCATGGCTTTGATTCTCCCGAGCAAACATCTCCATTATCAGATACACACACTCATTCTCTCTCACCCACCAGGTACACTATATTATTATTATTATTATTACATTTATATTTCATTATTATTATTACATTATTATTATTATTATTATTATTATTATTATTATTATTATTATTATTATTATTATTATTATTATTATTATTATTATTGCTATATTCGCGGGGACACGCTTAGGCATCATGAAGAGCCTGTGGAATGGGATTCACTCAAACCAGATCATAGGAAGAGAAGGTGCATGTTGCCCAGACACAGACAGTACAGATATTGGAATAAGCTCTCGGCTGTTTCACGTCAGTGATTATCTATCAATACTCACACAAAATACACAGAGCTCACCACCTGGCGGTGGCCGCTCTTCCAGCACCTTAATTACGAAGGCGGGGTCTCAAATGAGTGTGGTTGCAGGCACAGGGACGGTGGTGGTTCGCCTGGCGGACGTGAACGACAATTCTCCCCGCTTGGCACGACAACTGTGGGAGCTGCAGGTGGAGGAGACGTGGGGTGAGGGACCTCCTGACAACAAAACCATTCTGGAGATCTCCGCAGCTGACAGGGACACCTCCAACTACTTCTTCTACAGGGTAGGTGGATGCAGACGTGGAGAGAGGGAAAGGAAAAACGAGAGGAATGGGAAAAATGCAAGAAGAGGAAGAGAGAAAGATTGGTGGTGGTGCCAGAGATGGGGGAAAGACGATTTATTGGAAGGTGGTTGAGTAGGTGAAAGAAGGAGGGATTAATAAAGATGGAGTGGATGGTGGTAGTTGGGGATTTTCATGGGCAGATGGACGGATGGATGTATGGATGAATAGATGGGTAAATGTACGCAGATTACAGAGGTATGTGTGTGTGTGTGTGTGTGTACTCACCTATTTGTACTCACCTATTTGTGGTTGCAGGGGTCGATTCACAGCTCCTGGCCCCGCCTCTTCACTGATTGCTACTAGGTCCTCTCTCTCCCTGCTCCATGAGCTTTATCATACCTCGCCTTAAAACTATGTATGGTTCCCGCCTCCACTACTTCACTTTCTAGGCTATTCCACGGCTTGACTACTCTATGACTGAAGAAATACTTCCTAACATCCCTTTGATTCATCTGAGTCTTCAACTTACAATTGTGACCTCTTGTGACCTCTCAGCATACATTAATATACAAAGATTCCGAAAAATGTCAACAAAGTTTAGCATAATTTTTAGTGTGCAGAAAGGAACGTGAGAGAGGCTAAAGAGAACAAGGAGAGAGAGGGAGAGGGAGAGAGAGGGAGAGAGAGAGAGAGGGAGAGAGAGAGAGAGGGAGAGAGGGAGAGAGAGAGAGGGAGAGAGAGAGAGACAGAAGAGTATGTAGAGAGGAAAACAAGGAAACAGATCTCCTGGTCTATAGCTAGTATATCTTCTGAAGAATGTTTTTATTAAGCCATATATTATTCCTCGAGAGAAAGATGGGATTAAGAAAGGGAGAAAGGTAGAAAGAAGAAAAACAGAGGAAAGAGGTAGAGAGAAGAGACAGTAGAGACAGAGGTAGAGATGAAAATGGAGAAGAGAAAAATGAAGAGATGTCGAAAAATAGAACACAGAAACAAATGACAGAGCACAAGTGGGAGGAGAGTGGAGAGAAGAGACAAAGAGAGAAAGAAGGTAAAACAGAAACAGGAAAGGAGAATAAGTATTTTGAAAACCAAATGATTTTGAGTCGCTGCAGCATAAACAAATTTCAGAAGATGGTAACAAAAAAGTTATATGAAATATATATATATATATATATATATATATATATATATATATATATATATATATATATATATATATATATATATATATATATATATATATATAGTTTTCAAAATTTAAACAATGAAATTAGTATTCCCTCTTTTGTACTTCCCAGTGCTTCCCATTGTCTGTACTTCCTAGTGCCCCATTTTCTATAATTTCTAGTGCACCATTTTCTCTTCTTCCCAATGCTCCATTTTCTATTCTTCCTGAAGCTCCATTTTCTATACTTTCTAGTGCTCCATTTTCTATACTTCCTAGTGCTCTGTTTTCTATACTTCCCAGTGTTCCATTTGCAATACTTCTCAGTTCTCCATTTTCTATACTTCCCAGTGCTCCATTTTCTATACTCTACAGTATTGCAAAGTTTTAAACTTGAATGATAAATATAAAACATCAGTTTTATTTAACACAGATTATTATAACTTTGTGAAGCAATATTTACTTTTTCTTGTGTGAGTTAGTATTTTTAGAGACAGACTTAACTTATGAGTGTTATTGTATGAGCGTATATACGTTGTGAATATTTGTATGTATGAGTGTATATATCTTGTGAATGTTAGTATATATAAGTGTATATATTTTATGGTTGTTAATATGTATGAGTGTATATATCTTGTGAATGTTAGTATATATAAGTGTATATATTTTATGGTTGTTAATATGTATGAGTGTATATATCTTGTGAATGTTAGTATATATAAGTGTATATATTTTATGGTTGTTAATATGTATGAGTGTATATATCTTGTGAATGTTAGTATATATAAGTGTATATATTCTATGGTTGTTAATATGTATGAGTGTATATATCTTGTGAATGTTAGTATATATAAGTGTATATATTTTATGGTTGTTAATATGTATGAGTGTATATATCTTGTGAATGTTAGTATGTATGAAAACCTTGTGAATATTTGTATATATGAGTGTATATAACTTGTGGGTGTTTGTATGAGTGTATATATCTTTTGGTTGTTAGTTTGAGTGTCTATACACTGTGGATATTAGTTAAGTGTGAGAGTTAATACAATGTAATACTAGAATATATCTATGTTTATACCTAATTACTGTTAGCATCAGAGTATATATATTGTGAACGTTGTTAGGTATGAATATATACGTTTTTTTTAACCCTTAAACTGTCCAAACGTTGATCTACTTTCACGTGCTCTGAATGACCACAAGAACACAAGTGCTCTGTAAATACATCAGCTTTCTTCCGTTTGCTTCAACGGTGAGACCCTTGCCGTTGGTGAAGGCTCTTAACCCAACGTTTACTTTAACAGACAATTATATTCAAATTCAAATTCAAATGTTTATTTTTCTGTATAGATTACAATGTGTGGTTTACATATTATCATTATAAAATAAAGTACTTATTACGAAGAACGACACTAGTTTGCCTAGATAGGCCTAGGCATTTCGGATAGACTATTACTATTTCTTACTCTATATTGACACAGGTTATGAATTATACTGGTTTTAAAGTGAGGAAGCTTGATTTACAAAAGTGAGGTAGTTCAACACATTTTAATAAATTAACAATTAGTTTATCAATTAATGAAAATAGTCTCATCTTGGCATGATACAGTTTCTATTAAGGCTCCTATAATGGAGTATCTTAGACAACCTTATGACTAGCTTAAGAATCATGTAGTAAAAGCTAGATTCAGGATTTTATGTTGACAGTCATTAGTGTAAATTAGTGTAAATTAGTGTAAATTAGGGGAAGTCGCAGCAGACAAATATAACAAAGAAAAATATTACAAATATAAAATTAGATTTCGTGACCCCCCCCCCTTCCTCCTTTCCTCGATTATTCTTTTACCAAGTGACATTTCGTATATTATTATTATTATTATAATCAAAAAGAAGCGCTAAGCCACAAGGGCTATACAGCGACATTTCGTATAATGTGACTTGTCTCCTGTGATGTGGAATAAATTGCTGATAAGGTCTTTGGACTGGGACATATGGATTTTAAATTGTTTCAACTACATTATCCTGATGATGTCTGTAATATGGCTGACACCTCTTCAGGGTAGCATCATATTGGCTGATGATATCTGAACATTTTTTTTAATTTAAAGTTCTAATAATTACATGATTCTAGAGTTTTCTCAACCTACAAAAATACAAAGCAATATTTGTAAGTTTTCTCATTTCTCTAGTCCAGTGCGTCATGTTCTAGACTTCCAAGTATTCCAATCGCTTTGCTATCCTATGTGTTCTGTTTTATATTCTAATGGTTACTCCATTTTTTTTCCTTCCCGGTGTTCCATTTCTATACTTCCCATTATACAATTTTCTGTTACTGAACAATGCACAGTTTCACTACTCCGTTTTCTGTTCTCGCATGTCCCAGCGCTCCATTATCCGCACAGAATGGTAGTCCATCATCTTAAATTTCAAATGCAAACTATAATCAGCAGAATCTATCAATTCTTGAAGACAATCCCTTTCTAAAAGATCTTAAAGAGGGTTTGAATCCCCGCAAGACTTTCTGTACAAGACAAAAGAGGTTTAACACCCACAATACCTTTAATACTCGCACGAACTCATTGCTCGACAAAGAAAAAAATAGGTGGCCAGAGAGAGAGTGGTAGGAAAAGGGGTAAAGTGGAGCGCTTCATCCTGTCTCTGCAATTTGCATGCGTCAATAGGGGGGGGCAGCCAACCACACTCACAGGACGGGCAAAATTTGTCTTTGATCCGAAGAGGGAAAGGGGGTGAGGCGCAAGACCTCCCTCACACACTTCAGCGTCTCGTTTTCTTTTAGCTATTACTTCTCGTTGAAGGTCCACAAGTGTTGATGAGTGGTGGGGAGAGAGCGAGGGGGAAGCTGGAAGAGAGATAGTATTAGAGAGGGGGAGAGTTGGGAGTGTGATCGTGGATGGGAAAGTGGGATAAAGGGAGAGAGAGAATGAGAGGGAGTGTGAGAGAACTCACATTAGTTCACATAGTAAAGATAAATAACACGCTATACGGTCTATAACTTCGTTTTATACAGAGAACGAATAATAATTTTGTAAACTACCTCCACTGCTTCTGTGTGGACAGGTGAGCACAACAAAGCAGAAGGCTCTCTGCCTCCTCTCCCCCTCCCTATAACTACTCTACAGTGTTTGTGAAGAGAAAAACCTCAGTATTTTTTCCTTTATTTCTCCAAGACAGTGTGTCTCCCTCTGCCACCTCTACTACCTTTAAAAGGGAAAAAATGCACTGAGGCTTAGGGGAACAAAGGAAGAACATTGACTAAAGTCTGTCACTATAGTATCATCCTTATTTTAGAGTTCATGTATAAGTTTTTGCGTTCCCTTTAACCACCACACACTGTACAATGTACATAAAATGTATATTAAATGTATATAAAAATTGCATTTCTAGTATTGGAACGCACTTAACAGTGTCCCGTCAATAGTAGTAGTAGTAGTAATAGTGGTAGTAGTAGTACTTGTAGTAGTAATAGTAGTAGTAGTATTAGTAGTAGTAGTGGTGGTAGTGGTAGTTTAGTAGTAGGTGTAGTAGTATTAGTTATTGTAACAATGACACTTGAACCAGGGAATGGGAGCTACACTCTCCCCCTTCACCTCGGATTGAACCTGATTACCCCCAATTTCCCGGATGGGCCCCAACGGATTCGGCGCTTCACTCTGAATGTGTTTACTTAGTGTTTATTTACCTATGTAAAACGCTAAACCCGTGTGGGTCATTCAGCCCAATGAGTGGCAGAGGCTCGATCCTCCGTCCGCTAATCAAGGTAATATATAATATATGAATTACCCTGAATGCAATGATAATAATAATA